TGTATTGCGATGGTAATCTCGATCGAGCGACTGGCGGTTTGATGTGTCAATCCAGCCGTGCGTCGATCGGTATCGCTCGATAGCTCCTATTGGGCAACCGACACGCTTTGTTATCCTAACGGAATTTAAAAAATGACGGCCACGAAGAGAAAACGAATGGATCCGTCCCTCTGCGTTTCCGCGGTCGAAGCGGAGAGCCGGGCCGTCAAATTAAAGGTCTCGGTTTTCACGCGAGTTCTATTTCTCGTTACACGGTAATCGAGTCATACGCGGCCGGCCGCTGCTACGATCCGCACACAAATAAATCGTTACGCGAATTTCCCAACATGGCTTCCGCGGGTACGGCCAATGGGAGGCAGGGGGCGGCGCGGGGCGGGGGCCGGCGCTGCATCTTCGTGTGAAAATTTAAAAAATTACGAGCATCGCATTCATTTTTATGATCGCTTCGGAGATGCCTCGCGCTCGCCGCTCGACGGGGTGATAAACTTTCAGCGATACACGATCATGCGTAAATAACTCAGCGCTGCCCAACTCAGCTGGTTCCATCTCTGAAACTTAATTATAATAATTGCAACATCATTTTTAATATTCCATACTTTAACCTTGCGGCTGAAAACCGAAATTCTTACCGGGAAACCCTATTACTTCCCGCGTGAATAGATTACACGAACCTGTGTAACCCGATTTCTATAAAGCGTCTGTGGCTTTATGAATAAATAAACTACGATAACAGCTTCAAAAGAGCCTACCCACTACATCAAAGTTTTGTCGACCCTTGCTCTATTCGAGGAGCCCCCGCATACATACCGCGCCGGCTGCTACATAACGCACCCACACAGAACCGCTTCATCGCTTTACAGCTGAAACTGCCGTGGTGTGAGTGAACACGATGAAAATCTTTATTTTCACGCTCTATCTCTCTTTATCTAATCGCCCCGGTCAGATAAGGACGGAGCGCCGGAAAAACTGGCGCGGGGCGAGGAGTAAAGGCTACATCGATTCCGCGCTTTCACTGCTAGGGGCCGCGTAAACCTTTAAAAACACCGGTTTTGCCACGCGATTGTCATCTCTAACCTTATGCGGGTAAGAGGTATATTGCGATGCCGATGTGGCCCTTGTAAATGGATTGCCTCCCCCTTGGGGGTTCTCATAGTGGGATCTAGATGTCGTAGATATGCTGATAGGCGGCGGTGTGTGCGTGCGCGTGGCTACAGCCCTTCGCTTGTGTGGCGTCGTATAGGTTTGTATTTTCCGGCTAAAGTTGTGTAGGTATGTTAAGTAGAGGGCTGTTTCCGGGTAGGTTGAATTTTGCTTGTGTTTGCAAATATATGAGGGGTAGGTAGCCATCCCTTTTTGTAATATAATTTTATGTTTAAGCGTAGATAGGATAGATTAGGGAAGACGGAGGCTGTGATTTGATTTGATTAGGAGGTGTTTGGGAGGGGAGATAAGACTGATTGGATCGGGGAGCGGTGTATGGAAATATGTTTTTAATGTGGGTGGTTTATTGAATTAGCGAGTTTGTGAAGTGACGCGAGATTAGTCCGCCTGATGTGTTCGTTTTGATAATTAACTGTGTTCATTCGCTTATTAACGTTGTGTTTAACTTTGTAAATCACTGAATGGGATTATGAAAGCAGATTCTGATTCCCCTTTAAATGTGATTCACACAACCAAAAATTATTGAAATAAGTCAACATTAGGGCGAGTTATACAGAAGACAGAAAACTTCAGCATTTTAAGACTAGGTTCAATTGTAGGTCCGCTAGCATTCTATACTTACGTATCCACCACTTACTAAAACCCAATAATATGTAAAGTCCATTCTTACTTCGTAGATCAAGAAAGGCCTCTACTTCAAAGGCAATTAAGCTTTTATCCTTTGCATTTGTCATCTACATTCTTACTGCCATTATTTCCATTGTAAATTCCCTATTCAGAGCCGAATTAGTTGCTTACGTAGATAAACTGTCCACTTAATACGGTCAGCAGATACATCCCGGCTGTTTTCATGCCAAAAACAACAAAGCACTTTTGTTGTCGCTCACAAAGGGGCTCTTGATGTTGTCACAGCGCACTCTCTTTGAATTTACACCACACTGAAAATTGAAGTACCAACGAACAATATGTAAGGAATAATATTTATCTGTTTGTGTAAACGCGCTTTTTTATCTCGCCGACGTGTTTTCTGTATGTTAGTTTTTTGATATCGATCGGTATGTCGGTGACAGTGAAATGGGTTAGCAATTAATAAAACCCTCGGTACAAGTGAACGCATACTTCGCATTCTAATCGAAACGTTTTTTGTTGGTGTTNATCGTGTTTTGTAACGAGTCCTTTGAGTTAGTTTTAGTCGGGTATATCGATAAGAAACGTAAAAATAAATAGTCGATTTACTCAATTAGTGAGAGAGCTACGACAGTATTGTATAAGGCAGCCTTATTGGCAATTTTCAGTCGCGTCGTGTAGCGCCATCTATGTCGTGCTTGCTAAAGTAAAGTTCAAAGGCTCGCGTTTGCTACTCAATATTACCGTACAGTACTTTCAGCAGCTTTATTAATCTTGTCAGAATCGCTACAACAACAAATCTCAGGTCCGTGACTCCAGCGAATGACCCGAATAAAAAATAATCCCACTCGTAAAATTTACGAGTTTTTCCAGCCATTTCAGCGTTTGAGGAGCGAAAGTAATTCGCTCATAAAATTACGAATAAACAGCCGTTTTTCCACGGAAATAAAACCACCCTGGAAGGGTGGTGAGTCCTCTAATCGGATTTGAGCCCTCCGATTTGGTAACTCTCCCTAGGGAACAGGGATGCATCGCTATGACTTGATGGGATGCCTTATCTAGAGATTATAAAATCGGATTCGGGTAATTGAGTCGTAAAGCACAGAGTTAATTTTGGCGTGCGGTGCGTTTGTCATACCGCGATCGGTTTAATTAGTTTACTTGTGCCGCTTGTGGACAGAGCAATGTGTACGTGCATGGGATCTTGGGTCGTTATTTTGGTGTTATGGTCAGTAAAATGGCGGGTTAAGGTCCAGACATTGATAAATAAAATATTTACATAAGGAAGAGACGTACCTACGTACAAAACGTACATTACTAAAAATCTATTTTGGGTTTAGATAGGTACCTACTACTACCAGTATTAATTCACAATACTCAAAGTCTATCAAAATACAAACTACATTATATCTACTTCATTTCAAACTTAACCCAATACTCAGCTGCATCATCAAAAAAAGACATCGACTCGCTGCATTTTTTTAAACAAACAAAATATGTCACTTTTGACAGATATGGAAGTCGATGGAGTAGAGTCGAAAAAAAGGCCGGTTAATATGGCCACTAATCTCAAACACAAAGCCGCATGACGCGGCGAATGTTCGCGCGAACCATTTAATGTTTAGGTATTCAGGTATGTTGGTACTGGTGATCACAGATATGATAACGAAATACGTAATTTAATACATTGATAATTAAATTGTCGTTTGACATTTCAGATTTTGCTTTTCATTTTTAAACATACTAGTTATTATAATATAGTTTTACATTTAATTAGCAAAATTTATTTTTCTATATTTCGTCTTTTCAATTATAATGCGAGTAATAGCGGACAAGCAAACATTTTTGTGATTACAAGAGTTTAAAAGCTTTGGACTTTTACAACCAACTAGAATTTAAAAAGCTCATAATTTTCAGCTTTTTATTAAAATGGCCTTTTTTATGTTTAATTAAATATTAAACTCGTGTTGCTAGAAACGTCAACGCCACTATATTAAATTGAATTTAATGGTGTCGTGCGCGAGCGTCCGTCGCTCAGCGCAGTTACTTACGATATTAAATCGGACAATACGCCGATTCGGGCCCGATAACTCGCCAGTTCGATTCTAGTTACCGAGAACCGAAACCGAATAGTTGGTCTCGTAATGTTTTAAGACCACAATGCTTTTTGTCTGGCAAATGACATGACAAATTAATGGATTTATTATGAGTCTGATTCGTTCCTTTTTCTCGTGGCGGGTTAGGACGAATGCATTTTTAATTGAGTGAGGCACTGTATAGAGCGGCCACTGCGTGCCGTGGATATTTTTTATTTGATTGACGGGTAGCGAAGGCAGGTGCGTAGGACGTCTGCCGATAGCTCCCTCGCTTTTTCGAATCGAATATTCACTTTTTGTGTGTCGCCTCGTTTCGCGACTCGATTTTGTCATGTTTTATGTTGATTGTTGTACCGAACATTAATGGCCCACTAAATTTCACCGGCGGTTGTACTTGCGTGGTTTTTGTCGGGCGCGTTTGTTTTAACAAAATGTAAAAACGCAACGCGGCAGGTGAATTTTTTAATATTTATTATGACGGTAATGCCTATAATGTCTTGTAATGTGACACGTTCGGAATAAAAAGTACGTCCTTTGTAACATACTTGTTTGAAATGGTAGAGTTTAATCAGCCTTATAAGGGTCAGTAATGAGGAAAAAGTTACAAACATACTTATTAGACATGTTTATTTGCAACATCTGTGAAGGATACCATAACGTCGTATGTTGTTGATAGACTCCTGGATCTCATGATAGTTAAAATTTAGAAGTCATTATTTTCTGCAAAATCGCTTTTACATTATACCTACGTTATTCATTTTGCAGACTATCACAGCTTGTTTTTTTACTAAAAATATTACTTTAACGATCTCATGGACCATCTTTCTGGTTCAGTACCTCTAGTAGGAAAAACTTTCGAGTTCGTTTCGTTGCGTATTCAAAGTGTCATCGAAAAATTTTGTATGAAAAATTAAACAGCGCCCCCTAGGGCGGCTATAATATAGGGGGCGCTGTTTAATTTTTCATACAAAATTTTTCGATGACACTTTGAATACGCAACGAAACGAACTCGAAAGTTTTTCCTACTAGAGGTACAGAGAGCGCTTTAGTCCAACTCTAGCTGCTACACCGTCACATGTTTTGCCATGTTCTAAAGCGATTGTCTTTTGTCCTCAGTCGCTGCAGAGCGCGGCGAGACGAGCCGGCACGTCGTGTGCGAATTGCAAGACGACGACCACGACGCTATGGCGACGCAACCAGAACGGGGAGCCTGTGTGCAACGCGTGCGGACTTTACTACAAACTACACAACGTGAGTACTACGCTTTATTTGTATGAAATATAGCACACTACACAATGATTGATAAAAACATCAATTTTACGCGGCACCAAACTTTTCAGAGTCTACCTATCTTATATTGCAATGGAAACTCTACAAGGAACTAACACAACGAGAGTTCCACTCAAAGCTCTATCTGCTTATTATGTACCTAATTCACAATCTATTTGATGTAGAGTAGGGTATAATACACGCAACCCTAAACACGAAATATTTTTAATATTCAAGCCCTATAAAGCTTTACAACTGCTACTAGGTGTACTAGAGTTTTAGTTCTTGGTTCCGTAAATGTTGCTGATATACTTTATAACAGTAAGGCTGAGTTGCACCATTTTACTTTAACTTTTACAAACGTCAAAAGTCTGTCAAACTCCATACAGAAAATGGTAGTAGCCTACTCGTATTGCTACTAAGTAAGGCTACTCGTATTGCTGTTTGTTGCTTGTTAAAGTTATATTTTTGGAAACCACAGTTACACGATTTGGACCAAATTAGAATGGATACCCAATAAATCTTTCGGAGATAATTATTTATGCGTATCAATAGTCTTGCGTGATCTTATTAAAATTTCCATTAGCGCGGTGGGTTTTATTGACATGTGAATTAGGCCAATTTACATACCCGATGGAATTTTCTCATTTTATGCTAAATTAAGACAGGCCAATAGTTTTTGACGCTGTTATAACGTTACAAAAAGGGGTTACATTTCGAAATTAGCCTTGTGATCAAAGCCTACAGATTGAACAAGTACAAACAGTTTTGTAAAGACATTAGAGGACACTGATCTAATCTGACGTTTCAGAACCGACTACTGGTTATTGCGAAATCGTATACGAGATAGTATAATTCATTTAACCTCCTGATGCTATCGTGCGGCCAATAATTTATTTGAGACAATCGTATTTGGTTTTATGACACATTAGCTGGTCTCTGGGGTGAGAGACCCCAAGTTATCTGTCACTAAGATACTGTCATCTCTCCAGGGGGGATCACAAGTGACGTCCCGGGGGACCGAGATTAGCAAATCGAGGGGGACATGAACGTTTAAAAATCTCATCGGGCTCAAATGGTTCTGATGGACACCGCTATTTGACTCTTAAATAGATTTAGTTATTGATGTGTTTGAGCAGTAAATATTGACCTTGTGTAATTCAATTTATTTGGTGGTTTCTACAAAAATTTGCTTTTGGTGTAATCAATGTCACACTATTATTCTATGGTTCTAGTCTAGACAATAGCCTTTGATTTAATATTTAAAGCTACTCAAACATGAGAACGCGAAATTGTTTCGGTGTGTATTCTTTTAAAGTCATTTATACATTTTCATGTATTGTTTCATCATAAAGCTCATAACGTTTCTCACGCCTCTTACGGCCCCGTGCAAAACAATAAGCAGAAAAAACCCGCGACTTCATTCCGCGGTACATTCGTATCGGAAAAAATAGCTTTTATAAACAACAATGACAAAAATTACAGTCAAAGCGACCCTCGTGGAGGGCACTCGAGACTTTTTTCTGTTGAAATGTATACTTTTTCTAAGGCTCGAGCAACAATGTCGTGTGTTCTAATTATTCGAAAGGAGCGACAAAGGACATGGGAGTGCCTGCCACTGGAGCGGCAGCATGAGACGGGAGCACAATACCGGCATGGCGGTAGCGTCGTCAAGGGCCAGATCCCGCCCTCTCATACATATACATGTATCATATTCGCCGTGCGCAGACTCCATCGTCAAATTATTTATCTCAATTCATTGACTAAAATCAGGTTTTTTGAATTAATGAGATGATCTTTTATCTTGTTTTGACACAACGCGATGACAGTTCGTAGGATCATAAAAAAGTAGATTAAGGTCTCGGCCGATGACATTTGGCTGTAAATGTAGCCGGTAGCGCTGCGTGACCCCTGTTTGTGCTAATTCGGTTTCAAAGGTCAAGACACTTGGAGGCTTTGTATTCTATAAAATGTGATTTTTATCTCAACATAATTACTCTTATCTCGATGTAAAGTTAAGATATTCATAGAATTAAGTCAAAATTATTTTCCGTAGTAAATTGACCCATATTTTATTCAATTGTTTGCGGTTAAAACATTTCTCTTGTTAAAATATGCAAGGCATCTGTTTCCGATGCCGATAGGCCGATACAATTGTAAGCAAAATTGCTAGTTCTGGTGCTTTAGCAACAATGTGTAAATAAACGCTGTATAATAGTCGGCGGGCCGAGGCGGTCCTTCGTGATCGATTTCACTCAAAAAACGCAATTCATACAACAAAGCACGAGCGCATTGTGATTTACCGACGTCACCCTCCTGCACGCCGACGGACTTTCTTGGTACTTTCATAAATACATATTAGTTTCTCATTACTTATTCAAAATTAATTTTAAATACGACTCGTATGCTAGTATCTTATATCATCTGTAATACTTACCTATAGATAAATATAACTTTTGATTTGAAATCATGTTTGCTTTGCTACGTCCCGAAGAATCCAAACCTAAAACTCAAGTTGTTAACATTGTAAAATGTAGAGCACATAAAATTATCAACTTAACTATTAAATTCACTCTTAGATTGGTAAATAACTTCAGTTTAATTTACAAGCCTGCTACCTGACATGACAAGAGCAATAAATAAGTTTCTAAAAGTCAAATGTTGACGCTTCATCTTTCAAATATTTTCATCAAAAACTAAAATGAGTGACTACATAACCATTTTCAGTAACAACAAACAAAATAATATTATAGTATCAAAACTTTCTCAGCGCAGTATACGCCACGAACAATCTTCAAGTATGTTTACTCAAAATATACAATCAGACCCTCGATTATGTGCCGTATGAATGTCCACAAACGTTCCAATTGCCCTCGAAGGCTGCTCAAGTGGCTCGGATCGTGTTCTTTTGGTCCGTAACTGCTTGTATCATTGTTTATAATAAAAACATTTTATTGGCTGTTTCTGATACAGTTCCTTCCATTTGATTGATATGGGAAAGTTTTTGCCCCGGAATGTGTAACGACTTTTGTTTCAGTTAAAAACTTCGTGTAAAACTCGAATGGTGGCGATCAATCTCCTCCGATAAGATCTTTTGAAGAAATTTTGTTAATAACTCCAAAAACACTCACATCGTTTATATTAAATATATTAGCGTAGAGCATTCATTAGTCGAGTCCTGATTATAATTTTTAAGGTAATGTGTGCGTAATGTATTCACGAAAATGTTGTGAAAAGTCAGCGAGGGAAGGGTTAATCATGATGTACTTTTGAATATCGAATCAACAAAACGATATTTTACATGAAATAATAACATTAAAAAACATTCGAATAATCCCCTGTGAGGTTATTCCATACGATTGTTATCCATGATTGGGCAATTTTTAAACTATTAAGACTCGCTTTGGGAACGCTCGGCTCGGGACAATTGAATAAGTTCGAAAATAAATTATTTATTTAGCCACAATCGTTAATAGGATTACGCCAGTGCGTGGGTTCGATTCCCGACCATACCTGCCGACCGCATCGATCCGTCTATTCGTTTTTGTGAATTTGTTTATTTAATTTATCACGCTCGTTTATTCGTTACTTCCTCTGTTATACTCGATTAGGTTTTTGTGGTTTGTATTCAATTTTTTTGGGCCGACCTTTAATCTACCAATGAATTGGTAAGTTTTTGCGGTCTTCCGATTGTTTTCGATTTCTTTGCCCTTATAACTGACAACTTTTTTTATTTGGGTATTTCGATTTGTATAAGAAAGTTCGCATTACATTTCTAAATAATAACCAAAATATTTTTTGTTATTTTTCAATAAATAAAAATTACTAAGTGGCACAATAAAACAGTAAATAAATTAAGCAGCAATAACACATACGTCGTTTTGTATCTGTCTCCGTCCGTTAAGTGCCTGCTATACAAAGGTATTGGATTACAGCTTGTATAGAGCTCTAGAGAGCGCCCATAATAACACATCTCAAATGATACATTTCGAATACAATGGGACGATCAATTCAATTTTTGAATCGAGAACGCTCCTCTAGTTTTCTTTTTTTTTCGGCTAAAGTGCTGTTTTGTTCGACATCCGAGGGAATTTGACAGTCACCGTTTTTTCTCCGGCCAGTTTTCTTCGGCAGTTAGACCTTAATATTAGGTTATTGATACAAAATGTTTTTTCAACGCGTCCGTACTTAGCGCTGAAGTGCCGTGTTACTTTTTTGTTTGGGTTGTTTTGTGTTTACTCACTGTAGTTTGGGTAATGTAAAGTGATAATATTATTATTATAACATAATTATGCAACATGTTAAATTTAGATAAGTAAAAGAAATTAAAAGATCAAGTTTAAGAATTAAGAATATTACAAGTGGAATACTTAAAAGTGTCAGAAATCATGACAATTCAAGGATTCTAGGACTATACTTTGGGGAACAATCAGTAAAACAGATCTCGCAAGTTCCAAGTGCTTTACAGCGCAGTGAAAAAAGAAGTTTAATTTACTCATTACATTATATCCAGCGAACTGGCTAGTGGCCAAACGGCTGCCGGCCGAACGTTATAATGACATCAATTTGAATATTCACATCGAACGGGCACATTTGCATAAGTTCGGCCGTTGAATTTTGTGCGATGCAAATGACGCTGGCAACACTAATTGTGCTGTTCATTGTTCGTGTAAAACTTTGAAACATTTTTATTCTATTTAGCGATATCCGGTGAGCATTGTTTTTCGTTTCAAATGATTGTTTTCGTAGCCATTGTTCGGTGCGGAATTCGCTTTCTATGTGGCCGCTACTGATTTTACTAACGTTTTTAGCCGAAATTGTTTATTTAGGTAACATCAATGAGTTTTAGTTATTATATTGAAAGAATTTTTAGCAACACAATTAAAAGTTAATTTCTAAAATACTAAGGCAGAAAATATATCTTAACATGAATAGGTAATGATTTTCCAAATACTAAAGGTTCCTGTGAAAAAACATAATTA